AAACTCGGCTCTCGATAACCCGGCACTCCGGATAACTCGGCCACACCCAAATCCTTAAAAAAAATCCTTAGTTAATTAATTTTCATTATAGACAGCTTTATCTCTCATAAAGTATTTTTCTGAGGTCTGTCTTATCAGGTAAATTACTGTACACAGTGTATTCATTAATTTTCATTTTCATGTAGTAAAGGCTCTATGCCTTCATAAAGGATGTAATTTTCCTTTGTTTAAGAGTATTTGTGCACTTTATTCTCTGTTGTATTCTCAAGTAAACAATACATACAAGTACAGTACAGTGTTTTCTGAGGAAACACTCGTACTTATTTTTTTTAACCCCATTCCCGATAACCCGGCATTTTCACAAACTCGGCCACCCTTCGGTCCACATTAGGCCGAGTTCTCGAGACTCTACTGTATTGAATATCATACAGTTCAGTTTTATGTAAATGTTAGATGAAACTGAAATATTTTAGATACACAAACTATTTTTCAAAGTACTATATATAGTGTGTGATACTGAAACAAAAAATATTTATCTTTAATTTTTATAATTATTTAAATGTAACCATCTTTTTACTATATAGTCATGCATATATGATTGTTTTATGCTAAGCATTATTACATGATATTTACACTTACTTTAGTTTAGAAGAATAAACCACCACCTTAAATAGCAATATAATTTCAAGCTTAAATGTTTTCAGCCTAGTTTATATAAAACATCACAAGTTCTTTAATATCAAATTATAGAATATTAAAAATTTGGAATAATTGGGAAGAAAAAAACACTAAACATTACTTGAATTAAAACTGAAATAACTAAAAAAATCTACTTAGTCTAGAAGTTATATATTACTGTAATATATATATATATATAAATGAGGATATTTGTTCATTTGTTACATAAACTTAGGCCATTTGACCAATTGCTAGGAAACTCAGCATTTACATTAACATACTTCTAACTTAGATAATGTCCATAAATATCACCTCAAAATAGTGATTGGATTTCTNTTTTCTTTCATTTAATTAAAAAAACTAAACTTGAAATGCCAAAGTCAACACGTTTTTCCCGACTCCGACTCCACAGCCCTGCCATTTACGACCCAGAAAGAATATATATTGGTTTAGTTAAATTTGCACGCAAGTCGATTTAGAAATATAGAAGTTATTTATGTAATTCATACAAACATAAATAAAGTGCACAATTTGCATTTTAGTCAATTCAAAAATTGCCAAACCTTTAAATATCTCGAAAGAAGGAAAAATGGACTCGCACCACTATCAAAATAAATGGTTCATTTGTATCTAAAAGCTATCCACCACAAACTAATGCTTTTCACTCCAACATCCCACAGATGTACGGCAAAACGTTACAACTGGTTTATGTTCGCACTACGTTAATATTCTGTAAATGTTGGTTTTGTTTCACACAAAAAAAAAAAAAAACGAAAAAAAGTATTTCATATTTAAGTTTTATTTGTAACAAAAATGTATGGAATCCTTAATATTTATACATCTCGCTCGCTCTTTTAATAGGTTACCTACAAAATTACAAGAAATGCCAACAGGAATTATAATACATGGCAGTGGAAAACGTTTTAAAACCGACCGTATGTCATAAATACATAGGAGTAACTAATAACCGACTCGCATTCGATTTATTATAAACGAAACCCAAAAACTATGACAAAATGAAAAATATTACGATGATCTTTGAGGTTCCAATCGATATTTATAAAATGAGGGTTCTCGGAGCAAACGTGACTAAAGAATAAAGGTTCTCTATTGAACTTTGGAGGAAGTGCACCGAGCGCCACAGTTTTCTTTAATCCAACGATGTTGCATTATTCCATCCAGGGGCAGTCTACTTGCTGGATCTCTCTTTAGTAACTGTGAAGAAAAAAAGTCAAAGTTACAATGCCTCGACAAATCAAAATTACATTATTACATGATAAAACATTTACCAGTTAAAATTATAAACAATAAAAATGAGTGAAATTCCAACTTTCTACATTTTGCCACTATGTTTAAAAATTAATAAATATTAAAAAAAATCTATAAAAATCACCTCGATTTTATGCATGTCTGCACAAACATTTTCTGCCATCTGTTTGTTAATTTTAATATTATATATACAATTTATTTTTATAAACTGATACATACTACTTATACCTACACAATATTTTTGAAAGTTTTCTGATTAAAGTGTAATATACGAGAGTTGTTCAAAAAGTTTCCAAACTTTATTTATTACAAATAAATACTTCACTTACAATTTATTTGTCAGGGTCACCTTCAAAGTAGTCTCTTCCCAATGTACATACTTATCCCAACAGTGTTTCCACTTTTTGAAACAGTCCTGGAACACTTTTTCTGGAATGCTCTTAAGCTCTGCCATTATTTTTTTTCTCTCTCTCTGGAATGGTGGCAAATCTTTTTCCTTTGAGCATGTTTTTTAGTTTGAGGAACAGGAAAAAATCGCATGGGGCCAGGTCAGGTAAGTAGGGTGGGTGGGGAAGCATAACGGTCTTGTTTTTGGCCAAAAACTTGTGAGTTCTGAGAGACAAATGAACCGGCACGTTGTTGTGGTTAAAAAACCACTCGCTGCTCCTCCAAAGTTCGGGCCATTTTCGCCTGATTCTGCCTCTTAGGCATTTCATAACCCCCAGGTAGTACTCCATGTTGATTGTCTGACCTGTAGGTAGGTATTTGTGATGCACAACCCGCTTTGCATCAAAAAAAGTCATAACATTTGAGTGAACTTGTCAAGCTTTTTTGGGGCGGGGGATGTTCTACCCATCCATGGAAAGTTTCTGTCAAGGATTTCCCAAGTTTCACACAGAATTTCACAGAACAACGCTGTTCCTTCAAAGAGCTCATTTCCACAGATCTGATTTTTTGCCAAACCCCAAGAACACCCCTTCACATAAATGGCCGTAACTAATCACCAAAACAAGATATCAACAAACGGATTGAAAGAGGTTACTTGGGAGGTTTCCGTGGACACAATGCATCCAAGCGGATTAAAAAATAACCAACTGGAGGCATGCAATTCAAAAAGTTCAGGAACTTTTTGAACAACCCACATACAGGGATTGTAAGTGTAAATGGCAACTTAATCTCGAACAGACAATTGAAATCTTTGAATTTATGAATATATCCTAAGGAGTTAAATGATTGTGACGCAGAGAAGCTCTACGACAACTTTTTATTTTCTTTATGACAGAAGTATAAATACATCATGTTGTTCTCCGATAGACAATCTAATACAGGATATGACTCTGGCATATTTCCAACGTACGGTGTACAAATGTCCAGCCACCCCATTATATACGGTAAGAGCTCGTTTTACATTTCCTCTCTTTAGGACGATTAGTAACCAATTTCAGTCAGATAAATACTTTATCTGACCCAAATTCTTACTGCAAATGTGTCAAGCCCATCATAAACAAGAAGTGGCATAATAGAAAAAAATATTAGTGCCATGTACTGTACTATAAGAGCAAAAAGAACATTCCCGTAACTAGAATAGCAGCAGATGAGGCAAGATTCTCGTTTAACGAAATTGTCAACCTTCACACCAAAGGAAATTTAAAATATTAAAATTTTGCACTCGATTTACAAAGACTTGCTTTACAAATGGTAAGACAAACTACTACTTCATAAAATGGGATCTTACCATAAACTAGAATTTGGATATCGTAATCAGTTACATAACATTAATATACAGAATTAGCATCTTTCTAATATATAAAGTATGCTTGAGAAACTACATATTCTAATTGATTTCTCTTACAGCAGTTGTTTGCTTTAAAGTGCCATTTGCCAAAGACGTTGCCATACCGTTGGGCTTAATACGTAGCCAGTGACGTGCAATCGTATTAACTGTTTTTGTCGATCTTAGCTGGCACTTTAATTATTATTTGCACAATGTAAAAAAGAAAAAAATGAGGCAGTAATGCTAAAGTACTGTTATTACACAAAGGTTTTCCTACATAACAAAATCTATCTTCAAAAGCAAGGCATACCAAAGGGCTCACCCCTTTTGGCAATCGTAGCTGAACTAATTGTGAGAAGTGCTGAGTTTGCAATATTTTCAGCACCACTCATAATGCGTCGCCCATTACTCTATGTTCCAATAGCCGACAAAGTTTTGTTAGCGTGGGATGGAATGGCCGGTGAGCTATCATTTTCTATCATGAAGTTAATTGAAGCACTTCAGATTCAGGCTTCAATTAACTTCACTACAAAGTGAGAAAGATAGTGATACATTTTCTAGATCCTTTAATAAATAGATTGCTTATTGGTCTTTATTACAGTGTAGTCACAAGTTAGAGCTATGTCTGCCACTTCTATACAACCTCCTAGATATGTAAATAATGCTAATGCCGCACTTGTTCTAGAGCATTCTTCCCTCCTCATGAACGTTGGTACTTGAGGATTTGAATCATTGAGGATCGTTGCTACAGCAATACATAATGTGGGATACCCAAATGAAAGTTCGAATACATCTACGCACTTTTACGTAGAGATCGCTTTTTCCACTCACAGCTTTAGATACAAGGAGAGAAAAGCTCGCAAATTGAAATTTATACCTAGATAACTAAAATGGCTGCTCTTCCAGTCGCCATTTCGAAAGCTACTTGCGATTGTGCGGTGACAAAAATATTGATAGCGAAATTTACATACATTTGTTAATGTTACCGATAATTATTTGTAATTGTAACATTTAGGATTAACATGTACTTAAGTCACCTCAATGACTGATATTTTGGAATTGCGTTCTAACCTAACCCAACCTATTCTAATAAATTAACAATTTTTCCCCTCTTTCATATATTTTTAATTATTTTACATCTTATGTTAGTAATTTTGGTAATTTATTAGAATAGGTTGGGTTAGGTTAGAACATAATTCTGAAATATAGGAACTTTGGGGTTACTATGTACACCTACAATGAATATTTAGAATGTATGAAAAATACTCGCGTTTTAGGTTGTTTCATTCTTTTTGACATTTTCTTCACACCATTATTAGATTGTGCACCCTTCGACATAGATCTTTTTTTCCCACTTTTAACTATGTTATCACCTTTATTTGCAGATTTTTTTCCCCTTTCCCTTTTTTCTGTCTTTTTATTTTTAATTTTTATTATTAGAAATTGGGGCAGCAGGCACACACTCTGATTCTTTCCATTTTGGAATCTGACCAGAACCCGGATATATCCAACCTAAATGTTTGACAAAGGTTTGAAATCGTTCTGCTGGTGTTTTCGTTTGCCAGTTTATTAACTTTTCATACATAAATAAATAAAGGTAAATTTGATGTATAATGTTTAGGAAGATTTTCTTTACTCTTTAGAAACCTTCATAAGCTTTCTATTTTTTGTGTGCAAGCTCCTGTTGACGGATTATCAAAATTTTCCGAGTGATTCACAGTTCTATGTTCAATTTCAATACCTTCAAGTTCGTTTATATGGTTGTACCCTCTCCATTCGTCTGTTATTACAACACTTCTGGTATTTACAAATTTCGATGTCAATCAGTTCAGTGTATTTCCACTTCTATCGTTAACTTGACAAATGAAATGTGTTGTCCTCCTACCACCCATTTAGTACTCTTTAGTTTCCTTCCCTTTTCGTACTTTTGTTTACATATGACAGTCTCATTGATTTCAACAGTTTTATCAGATCCACCTACTTTAAATGAAGAAATGCAAATGGTTAGCCCAATCAACAGAGGTCTTTCTAGAAATGCCAACAGCAATCGCAGTGTTGGTTAGAGAACACTCTAAACATAGTAAATGCCAAATAAATGAAATTATTGCACCCCATGTAATATGACTGAATTTCCCTTTAAATGTTCCATCGAAGGCAGAATAATTCTTTCTACAGTTATTAAATCATAACATTACTGAATTCCTATCAGGTCGAAATATTACTTTACGAGTTTTTGAACAATAAGTGCACACATCCTCAACATGTTGCAAATGTAAAAAAATTGTAAATTTTATATCTTTACTAATCTTCTTGTCTAATCCTAACTCCTCAAAATCTTAATCAATAAGTTGAAAGAACCTTTGTGTGGTGCAGCCAGTCCAAAAATCATCAGATTTACTATCCACACCAGACATTATTTTTTGTTACTATTGGACCAATAATTAAATTAAGGATAACTTGGGAACTTGCCACCAAATTAGAAAAAAATCCAAATAAACAGATAAAATTACATATAATATGAATACAATTCAATTAGATATAAACTTGTCCGCCGAACAAACTAACTACGACCGGTCGACAATTAAAAATTTGCATAAATTCAAAACATCACATTTCATGGTAGAACGCATATGTTTACATAATTCAAAACACAATACTTGTCAGCTCCCTCTATCGACAATTATCAATTCAACAGCCCGATTCGAGATTACCAGAAGAGCTGCCATTTTAGTTACCTAGGTATACATTACAGTGGCTAGAAAATATAGTGTCGAAATCGAGCTTATTTTCTGTCCCTATATTGGAGGTTGCCGCAAGAGGCGCTGCTGTCAATCGTTGTGCTACACTAACTGTATCATCCTATGTTTATATTGGTTTTAAGTGGGATTTTTAAGCATAGTAAATGTGCTGTAGCCAAGTAAAAGAATTTAGATCGATAATAAATCATATCACTAGCAATCAATTATTATATAGTATTACTTTATTAACATTTATGAAGGAATTCATTTTATTAAAGCTAATTAAGATTCTTATTAAATCAAATAGCCTACACTGTATTGTCTATTTTTACATTACAGCTGTTGAGTGCTGTACAAACAAGTATTATTTAGAGTACAAGAGTAATCTACTCTTGTTATTACCTTATTAACAACAAGGTTTATTCATATTTACTAAAAAAATACAGAATTTATCATATTTTTAATAATAAAATGTAAGTTTTATATGGCTTTGTGAACCTCTTCCACTTAAAATAGAATTTATTAAGCAAATGCCATCAGTTACATAATACTGTATACTGTTCACAGTATTATGTGACATAGTATAAAGCAATATTAAAATTACAATTAAATTCTACACAGTATATAAAATATAAAGGCAGAATGTTACTTTATTGTCCCAATATAAAATTACAAAATTAAGTATGTACAAATAAACGATTATTAGTCTACTGCCAAGTACCCATGCATATACACTTTATATTTGAAAAATCTCTCTTAAAAAATTACAGATTAATATGCATGTAGATTTCTCACCCTTTACGACAAAAATAAAAGAATTAAAAATTACAGTAGAGTAATATCTATAAATTAGAAATACACAAGTCAGTAAAGTTTCTGTTCAGCCATTTCCTAAGGATTTATTCACTTTACAAGCACAAATTTAATCGCTTTCGATGTTCTTGTAAGAAAGGATATCACGTAGCCAAAGCGAAAGTAGCACTACAATTGACATCAGCGCCACCTTGTCTGTGACGTCACTAACCTCGATGTATGGACCGAACGGTTATAATGGAGGAATATAAGCGCTTTCGACACTATATTTTCTAGCCACTGTAGTATACATTAACCGAAAGAGTTAACATTTAAATTTTATACTAACGTTCTAGAATATGCTCTTTTGTTTTTCGCCCGACAAAGACATTTATAAGTGTTGAAAGTATTTGAGTGAGCATTTGATTTATTAAAGACGGGTAATGCCAAAAAGAGTGTTTTCAGTACTATTTACTTATTTGCTTGCACTATAGTAGTTTATGGCATCTCTTCAGTTATTAAATTATTATTATTATTATTAAATTACTGTAATTGATAATAAAAATTACGACTATTAAATCTAAATGTTGTGTGTGTATATTTTTAATTGTTTTAATGTGTCCCCAAACATTCCGACATTAAAGTTTTACTGGAGTTGGTAAAACCACAATTTCCACTAATTGTAGTCTTATTTACTAACCCCGAATATTGTCATAAATTGATCATCATTATAGTCATATGTACATGTAAGTCCCAAACAACTAAGCAAACAGTACCATATTTGTTAAGAACATTAATTCAAAAGTTTGTGATTTTTGTAATAAACCTACAAACTGATAAACAGTTTCACATCCAGAACCATCACTCACCTTCCTGATTAAATCCTGGGCGCCCTCGGAGACATGGGACGGAAAGCGGAGATCCACTCTGGCTATCCGCATGTAGGTCTCGTTGATGGACTCTGATTCAAACGGCGGTTTTCCCACTAGAAACTCGTAACACAGGACGCCCAGACTCCACAGGTCTACCTTCTCGTCGTACACCTTGTGTTCGATCATTTCCGGAGGTAGGTAGTCCAAAGTTCCGCACAAGGTGGCTCTCCTACGCAAATGCGGAAAAATCTAAGTTAAACCCAAATGAATGCCACGTAGCAACCAGTCCAAATTGCGACTGCTCAAAGAAAACAATAGATTTATTCTGTCAGATCTCACCTGGAAGAGGGGGCATGAACAGACCATCCAAAATCTGCAATTTTCAATTCTCCATTGATGCCCAGCAGAAGATTTTCTGGTTTAATGTCTCTATGAATGACTTTTTTGGAATGACAGTAGGTAAGTGCATCACAAAGTTGAGAAATATACTGAAATTGTAAAGAAAATATTTATTTAATAATAAATTTTTACCGTAGTATTGTGTCATATACACAACACAATAAATTTAATCAAAAGATAATTTTAGGATTTAAAGCGCTATTTCTAAAAAAGTAAACTGCAATTAAATTTCTAAGTCTTCCAACTGGTACAGAAACCTCATACAAAAGATACTAACATTTGGCCAATAGATTTTGGCAAATAAATTTTGTAGATTGTAGGTCTATCATTTTCCTTACTCTGGTACCCAGCAGTTCTATATTTTTTAAACTTGTGACTGCAAAGTCTCTTTAATTACATATTTGTCAAACTTTTAACTGTTTTGTGTAAAAATAATTTTATCACATCTAAATAAACTTGGCCATGAATATAAAAATAAATTAAAAATATCAAGGACAGACTACATTTATCATCATAGACAATAGAAAAAATTGTATATCAAATCGACAACAAAAAGGATGTTGGAGGATTGCAGCATACGTTTAGTCCGGTCAGATGAAAGTTTGAGGATTGAATTTCAAAATAAAAGTGACTGTGATGAAAATGATAGTGGGAAAAAAAATTCAGAAAATTCTGGTGGTATTTTTACCACTCGAGGAGACTATTTTTTAGGAAAGGCTAAAGTGTCAAAGTGGAGAAAGACATCTAATTGAAAACAACAGTAAAACACATGTCAATCTCGTAAACCCAAATTTTGCAAATAGCAAAATAAGCAAAACAGAATTTGAAAGTCAAAACCGTTACATTCGGAAGGTATGTTTAATGGTGTTTATTATAACCATTTTGAATAATAACAATTCCCACGTTTGCTTCAATTTAGAAATAATAGGTTGTTCTTAACAGATGAGGTATTTGCAGGCGACGTCATCATTAATGGATTAAAATAATAAAAACTTTTCTGGTACCTTCAAATTTGGAACAATAATGTTCAATGATACATTTTTATTGTTCTTTCAAACACCATAACCGTGTATTTCTATTAATAGGACTTATTATACTGGTGTATAGAATTATAGCAACACAGTCACACAGATTAAAATTGGTTTACTTATGATTACCTGTAATCATAAATAAACCAATTTTAATCTGTGTGACTGTGTTGCTATAATTCTATACACCAGTATAATAAGTCCTATTAATAGAAATACACGGTTATGGTGTTTGAAAGAACAATTAAAATGTATCATTGAACATTATTGTTCCAAATTTGAAGGTACCAGAAAAGTTTTTATTATTTTAATCCATTAATGATGACGTCGCCTGCAAATACCTCATCTGTTAAGAACAACCTATTATTTCTAAATTGAAGCAAACGTGGGNCCCTATAATTACGATTCCTATAAAACTACGAAAAAATATACGTATTTTGGAAATGTTGAGTCAGATTAGTGTAGAATCGATTAATTTTATGGAAGAAAACCTTTCAATCAGCCGTAGTCCGTAAACTTGACACGTTCGGGCAGTGATTGGAACGACTTGTAAGAAATCGGATTCCTAATAAATTGGAACGTATCTATATCTTATAGAGGGGTCAACTGTATGTCTTGTTTATAAAATCGCACTGCCTGATGTGTTACCAGCTTAGAGGTATGAAGGAGTACATGTCAGGAGTTGCAATTTGGCACAGAGTATTGGTGCCCAAATCATGCCCGCATAAAAAAAAACAGACTTGTAGGTAGTCAGGGCGACCGAGAACCGAGTCAAAATAAAATACAAAAATGGCAACCCTCTTCTACAAACAGGCAATAGTGCAAGATTTGCGCACGTATTGCTCATTAGGAAGTTGGAAATACGAATATTGTGAAATCGAATTTTGACAAACACGTGCGTTGGAAGTTCAAAAAGCAAATGTTGCTAAATCAAATTTTGATAAACAAATCTTTGAAAAAACCTATTTACCTGTCCCGTGTTATTCCTCACCTATTTCTGGTTGCCACATGCTGACCTCGACCAATTCACTGAAGAGGTCTCGTTTCATCATCGAAACGTTTTTGAAACTAGATGGCGTGTCATTATAATTTTAAATTAAAACTAACTTCCAAAATATAATTTGTTTTCTTTTTACATTTATTAATACAGTAGAACCTCGATTATCCGGACTAATTGGGGATGAAGGTAGTCCGGATAATGAAAAATCCGGATAATCGAAACAAATACTTTAATTTGTCTTTTAATAATAATACAACATGTTTTCTTTTCGATGACATATCGGTAATATTAAAAGTAAATACTGTATTTAAATCGTGATCAAATTTTCAAGAAACAAACGTTCGTATTGAATTTGGACTACTACTGACCAACGCTAACANATTCGAACATAAAATTCGAATATTGGTTCGATTATAGAACAATTGTAAACGTTCCAGAAACGTTGAAAATAGTTTGTTTGACTAAACGTAAAAATTCTCTAATTAGTCTGGAAACGGGGGACCTAATTCTTGCATTCTATGAAAACGGGTAAGATTAGCTATAATGTAATTATCTTAATCTTCACTATTGTTACTTTTTGCCCAGCGAAGCGGGTCCTTGCAGCTAGATTCTAGATTACTTAGAAAAACAGTCTTTTATATATAAAGAAAAAACTATATTACATACAAATAAAAACCCAGTGAAGCAGGTCCTTGCAGCTAGTAATAAAATAATTTCAGATGATACAATAGCCAAGATTATTTTTTTCAAAAATGGGAAATTTTCGTTAGGCATCGGCAAAAATTCAACCCAAAGTGACACGCAACGGAGAGAAATTTCGAAACTGGATAGATTAATTTCACTGAAAATGCATCGTGGATGACGCCGTGACCATGGCCAGCAAAGTTTCAAAGATCATGCTGAAAACCAGCAATACCAAAGATTGGAATATGAGACCGAGACCCGACATGAGCAGGGTTACTACTACTTGGTTTTAAAACCGAAATCTGGGTTTTTCGGCCTTCTCTTGGTTTTAGTTTTTTTTTTCTTCTAATTTTCGTAAAATATGCATTTTTTTAAATATGACTACATATACAGTAGAGTCTGGATTATCCGACCTAAACAGGTGGGCAAAATGTCGGATAATAGGAAAGAATTAAGAAAAAGTTCATTAAACATCAAACTACATTACACTTTTAAAAGTTAAGCACCTAAACATTATATTTTAGAACAAATCAACAGAAAAAAAAATCAATACACAGTAGTGTTATACAATCATTTCTAGTATAAACATTGGTTCTTTATACCATTTGGTGGTTCCATTTTTATTTAGTAAATTATACAGAATCCGATGACAGATGATTCTGTGTTTGCCAGTAACTCTTTGGCATCTACTTCACTATCATCAACTGATTGCATTCTCAGATGATCTGATTCGTAGTCACTGTCAAGAAGAAAAATGTCGTCATTGGAGAAATTGTAATTTTTCTCCAAAGGTTCTGAAGATAAATTCTCATAAGAAACAGGATAATGATATAAGTCATTTTATATTTATTGAAATAAAATGACTTAAATAATAAAAAATTTTAGATTTTATAAACAAAAATGAAAAGCATGGTACTTTATTTGCTGAATCCTAAATCGTGGATTAAAAACACTCAGATACACTTAACACACCTGCTCAAGCTATAAAATCATACCCCACAATGATTTACTATCGTGACACAAACAGCAACATCTTAACTCCAGCTACTTAAAAATTTGAATGGCTTACGTGTATTTTGGAATTAATACAGAAATTTCAAAAACACTGGGGTTAATTTAACTATTGAATCATCAAAAAACAGGTTGCTTGCTAAACAAGTGATCAGTAGGAAAAATCTTAGCTGTTCACTGTATGAACACGAACTAATTAGAGATGCAGTACAGAGTGTCACCAAAGGTATAAGAAGCAACAAAAAGAGCATAAAGATTGTGCAGTACTGTTAATGGAAAAAGAATAACAGAGTAGTTGTGACATAAATTTAACTACTGTGTAAATTAGGTAATAAATGGTTTTTTAAATTTGTATTACAGTATAGTGTCTGTAATTATAACAACATGAATGTACTATGATAAAGTATTTATAATTATATTTTAATCATGAATTTTTCTGGGTAAATAATCAGGGATTTTTCCCATCCACACCTGTTTTTCCTATGTTGTGAGTGGCAACCCTGGTCGTGAGCATTGAAGTGATCTCACTTCAAAGTGAGTCTCCGAGACAGTCTTGTCACAAATATGGCTTTGCCGTTTTAATTAACTTGAGTTTAATGTAGTTTTCTTATTCTTTTCAATAGTTATTTACATTCCATTTTATCACTAACTTATTAAAACTTTAAACAACCGAGGTGTATAGTTTCAAAAATGGCTACATCCATACTGGATTTGGCTGTTTTTGAAACTATACTCCTCAGTTACTTGTTGTTATCTCAAAATCCTCATTTAGTTTTGTCCAGTCCTAATTTACCATTCCAAAATGTCAACCATTACTTGACCTTTAGAAATTTTATTTATTTTTTTGGAAGCCCTAAATGAATGCATGAGGATTCCCGATGAGTCGACAACAACCCTGCCATGAAAATATGAATATTTTCGATCTGAGGACAATAAACGATAGTAAATAGGTAAGCAAATCAAAATACATACGGTGGCGGCTCTCTTGTCGTCAAACTTTCTGTGCTTCTGCAACTCTTTGTAAAGTTCTCCGCGAGGCGCAAATTCCAAAATCAAATACACTCTTGTGTCGTCATAGAAATATCCGTACATTCTCAAGATATTTGGATGCCTGGGAAAAAATCAAAATTTTATCAAATTTATTAATAATGGTCTATAAATAATTTCAAATGCAAAAATAAAGTTTATAATCTAGCAAAAAAATATTCTGAGTAAAATAACCATAGATTAGAAGTATATTAAGAATGAAAGGTGTGTTGTATGAATGGAGCACTTTGAGATAGTCATACATCAATTAAACATTTCCAACCAAATGGTACTATAATTGTTATAGCACCGTACACTTTGAGATAGTCTTATCTCATTTGAAGTCAATATATAAATAGTTATAGTTTAATATTTTACAGTAGAAACCAAAATGATTTCTGGCCAGGTCAATACTAAAGTTTTAATATTCGGATCCATAATTTGGTCTATTGTTAAATAAACATTATTTTTGATTGGGACACAGATTTTCACTTGATTTTTTTCTAAGAATTTTTGTTATATTAAAAAGGATCAATAAGTGAGGTATGACCAAAAAGATACATTGAAATGATGGAAATACCAACAAAATAGTTACATTTGAATTTTATTGCATGAGAAAGTATAAAACAAAACAATTCTTCAAATTATCTCAAAGGGTCTAAAAATCAATTGATCTCAAAATAGAAATTGGGTACATTACGTATGCATCAAAAAGCATGTTGGTGAACTGAGACACATTAAAATATATTCTGACATTCACCTAGGAGTCCATCGGTGCAGTGACAGATGTACATTGCGCTTGTCAGCCATGGATACGATTGTCTCCAGTTATATTATTAATGCTATTTTTACTAATCTGTATTAACCCAAAGTTATTTTGACAAAATAAATCTGCAAATGCCAATAGAGCACCGTTTTGCTTCCGCCATCTCGTCAGGTTGCTAGACATTCCAGTAAAAGCTTATTACACCATTTTCCAGGACATCGGTTGTGGGTGTAAAAGTTAAATTTCCAAAAAAATTACTTAATATTGCAGGCAATTGATGAATGTGGACACGTCTGAATCTTTCATTTCTTGAGGATCTATCGATGTTGATACATACCTCAAAAAGTGTATTAAAAACACTCTATTCCCTTCTTCCAACAACACAATTGCCGGGAAGATGTGGTTTTCCAGCCAGATCTAGAAATGGCTCATAATGCCTGTAAAGTTACCAACTACATCAGTGATTCTCAAACTTTTTCGATCCACCGCCCCCTTTGTTCCATAAAGTTATACCCAACGCCCCCCAACCCATTTTCTCTTGTGTGAGAAAAGGATTGGAAATATTCTTAGGAAAACTTTTCTATGAATCTCACACTTTGTGCCCTTACTGTACATTGTTCTCATCATCTGGAAACCATTAAACGCAAAGTTTCCTCTTATCAGCCCCAATTTTGCCTTTGGTCACCGTTCAATACCCTGCCTCTATCATAGATCTATTCATCGCGCCAGAAGGGGGCGTTATTGCTTACTTTGAGAAACGCTGAGCTAAAATAAAAGTCAATGTGTTAGAAATATTCAAGTTGTGACCTTCAATAAATTTTATATATATTCCGTCGAATTTTTATATATAGAATTTGTCTGCCGTCGCCCCTCTATATTTCCTTAACGCCCCCCAATTCTCTTTGAGCCTTCTACTGCCCCCTGAAAGCCTCCAGTGCCCACAAGGGAGCGTTATCGCCCACTTTGAGAAACGCTGAACTACATTTAAAATACTGGGCTTGAATTTGTGGAAAATAAAAACACCCACCCTATGTATCTCAAGCCTGTCTCATTATAAGATTTTGGGCACAGTATAAACAGCAATATATCTCTCAGTACTTGAAATCATTCACATAAATTTAGAAAAATATTGGTCAAAATGTTGGGAAGAAGTCTAGCATGGAGTATGAGCAAAATTGAGATGTGTAGGAGAGCATGGTCTCTATGGACCATTACTTTGCAAAAAGTGAATCTGAACTGTCTGTACTAGTCCATGAATAAAAGTAATCTTTGAACCTTCATTGTCCTGGTAAAACAGTATCAATTAAAAGTGACACTTTAATTTCTGACACTGCTTAACATTATGAAATTATAAATATATGAAATTATAAATAATGGTTAAATAAAAAAGTTAACCTAACTTTTCTAATGAGCAATTATTTATTGTAACATTGTCGCAATGCCAGGCTGTCATTTTTAATCATATTTTTTAAATTTATTTAATTTAAAAATATGTTCTCCACCCTAAATTAGTAGTGCCTTTCCCCTGTAAATCATACTTTTTCCATTAGCAATAGAGTGATGCCAGTCATCTGTAAACTCCTTTTGGGAGGAAAAGTTTTGAATTGAAATAACGTGACTTCTGTTTGCGTAGGAAGTTTGTATATAGTTAATCGGGGCCTCCCATCCCTAAAGCTTTTCATGTCTGGTCTTTTTTTCATCTAACTCCATTCTCGAGATTAAAGACAGACAAACAGATGGAAAAATAACAATGGGAATTTATAGGACTACAATTTTTTCAAATTTTAATTGCATTTCAATCTTAAAAATTCATATATTAGCAAATATTGTAATTCTATTTATTTTTAGAATAAAAGGAAAGAAAAAATTGAAAACTGGTTAGTGACGTTACAAGAAGTAAGACTGTCAATGAAGATTGGGGGTAAGACAGATGGTATGGCTTATGAAAACCAAGAGAAAGATATGGGAAGGAGAATGTTAGCATTATAAATACCAGAAAAAAGAAACAGCAGAAGGTGGCAGGATTGTATAACAGAGGATAAAATTATTTTGTATAAATATTATTGTATAAATAGACCAGCTCCTGCAAAAGATTTAAGAAAGCTTTATAATCTGCTTTGTTTATATCCAATTTCTTAATACACATGCAAAAATAAAAATACTACACAATAATAACTTTATATTTAAAGTCATATAATACCTGAGATGAGATTGAATTTCTATTTCTCTTCTAAGCTGATGTTCTACACCATTTTTCTGTAACTGAGACTTAAACAACACCTGAAAAAGTATATTTAGAATGTAGACATTATTAATTATACACAATCACCCTTTTCATACACATGGATATGACAACATAATTAATTTCAATATTAAATTAAATAAGCAAACTCTCTCAAGTCTCTCTCATATTTTGGACATTAGAGGTTAACAAATCAAAGAATTTGTCTCAAAGATGGGACAGAGCTGCTCTTTGTTTAAACTTTTAGCCATGTAACTTAGGTTCAAAATATATAGAAAATGGTTTGTTTCATTTTCTAAGAGGAATTTACTTCCAAGACAGAAATAGAATATTCAATATCCATATATATCCGAGCTAGATTCTCCCACACTAAAAATGGCATTCTATCTTTGCTTTTAAGAATAAATCTTATTCAAATACTTACTTTCAGAGCGACAATGAACTTGCTGCTTTTCTCACGAGCAAGATAAACGTTTCCAAATTTTCCTTTACCCAACGGTCTACCAATGTCGAAATTCTCCAAACTCCATCGTTTTCTGCAGATAAACATTTTTATGCTATTTTAAAATAAGTATTGGAAATCCAAGTTAAACAAAAGTATCCAAAGCATTACAAAACATAAATATCTATCAACAGAAACTTAAATTTTATATAGTACATTAAAAATTGTCATTTTAATATACCAAGTCTTCACATAATCACCCATGGATGATTAAGTGAGCAATAGGAAATTATGTGAGACTGCTGTTGCATCTGCATCCGTTTAGAAGTAAAAATGAGCTCTACTTTTACTCCTCGACATCAACATCCATAAATGGGTCATTGACGTGACGAATAAAAGTGCTCTTACAGGGAGGGGAAGTTACTACAGGTAAAGAAATTAGATATAATTGCATAAAATATTGTTAATAATTAGATATAATTGCATAAAATGGGTTTAATGTTAATTTAAAACATTACAGAAAGATCATTCCAAATTTTATGTTCTTAATCATTAAGCTATAAAAATATTTAAACTTATAACAATTATATCCATTTTAATTCGTTATCAACAAACATCTGAAAATAAGTTCAGAATAATACAGGGCGATCTGTTCGGGTGGGGATAATTTGAAAGCAGTATTGTAATGAACACATTAGTTATACAAAGTTCAAATTGTCGGTAGCTTCGGAACTTAGTAGCAGGCCTGTTGCTGTTGACTCACAGGAAACCCCATCATAATGTGGTGCTGTCACTAAAGGTAAATCATTATGCTACAATTTATCCAAATCAACCTCCCGCACTGCAGGATGGTTTCTAGTGTTGAGCCACTGTGAGAGCACGAAAGAGCCCCGATATAAAAGCACTGGATTTTCAGGACTCAAATTAGGAGTTCGTATAACTCAGATGGCACTTTTTATTACCAATCGTCCGACAAGGATCTGCAATATTGCATTTTTTAGTAAAGATTCAAGTATTCCTCAACTTAGATATCTGGACAAGAGATGTAGTTGTTGTATGCATAATGGTTAATGTTAATGGTGTTAAGGAGATTTTCTTTTTCTCCACCTTTCCTCCTTGTGATTCTATTGAATCTCCTGGGAAGGTCAGATCTGTGGTAGAGTTTTTCAACCATCCTTTATTAAGTGGTTGTGATGAAAATGCACACAACAGTGTTTGGGAATGTAAAGATAATCCCAGAAGAAACATCCTCTGGACTTTTTGGTGGTACAGAGCCAGTAATCTTAAAGTAACAAACTAACAAACCTACTTATGTTACTTCCAGACATATGGAAATTCTGGACCTTACTCTAGCTTCCTCTGATTTAGGCAGCAGAATGGTGGATTAGTCTTTGTCTGAATAAATCTTCCCTATATGATCATGGAAATTTTACTTTCACCCATAACTTGGCTTCTAGACTAAAAGGGACTGCTTTTCACATCCCAGAGGACTGATTGAGCACTTTTTAAAGTGCCTGTTTCCAGATTGGGTTACTTCTCGATTGCTGTGTCAGACATTGAATTGGCTTTTGATAGTATGCAACAGCACATTTTTGAGTCCTACACCATTAGCTGTCCTACTCGAGAGAAGGTCATCCATCATTTGGTTCCTTGGTGGATCAGGAGTTGCTCTATGAGGTCTTCACCTCTGTAAATTTATTTAACTAAGGTAAGCATACTGGTGAGTGGGAGATTTATTGTATAGTTCTAATTCACTCATCAGTATAAAAAAAGCTATGAGAAGGGCAAAAAGATCTTCACAGAGAAACTTTTGCTCAAACATTTCCAATGTCTCTAAAGTTCCAGATTCAAAGATTTAAGCTAAGAAATCCTTCTTTCAACTGGGTTTACTATTGAGCTATCTAACACACTGCATTTGAGCTTGGCATCAGTCATGCTCTTGTTTGCTGGATTGATTTTGTGTTATAACATTGCATTGTGATTTCCCTTCCTGATACTTCTCTAAGCATCTGTTGTGAAATGGACCACCACAAGATTACGTCCTTTCACCTTTCTTCTAAAGTCTCATTGTGTATGATGATCAAAAGGGACCTTAATGATTCTAGGTTGTATGTCCCAGGATTGTGCAAACAATATTGTTCTGATTTTTGTGGGGAATTTCCTGGTACTCTACCAGACCTTCTTCAAAGAGGCCTGATTTCTGTGAAAACTGATGCAGGCATACTAGCTTGAGCATTGTCCTGACAAAATTGTTGTTGTTCTTTGGCAGCCCATCGATTGGAGTCGATCACAGGTTCAGTACAGTTGGTCACCCCGGAGTGACGTCATCACATGCGAATCTCAAACTCTCTCCCTCCTCACCACAAGGCAAGCAAGATGTACATATTTTTTTTCTCCTGTATAGTTGTTCTCGTGTCTAACAATAAAGCTTTGTTATTGTTGATATCTTGTGCGATTTCCTTGGACATCGATAGCGGTCTCCACATTCTCTTTACTTGCAGGAGAGCTTAAAGGAGCTTTTCTGAATCCTTTCTACATGATAAAAGACTATAGTTTTCTTCAGTCTGTGGACAAAACAGAAAATTTTAAAGATGAAGACTGATAATGCTGATGAAATGGTTTTGTTGTAGTTTAACACCTGATTCTACATACAAATTTAAAGAAGAAAAATGTGTTGATAGCAAAAATAAATCAAAAAGCCAGCTCAGTCCTCATCTGTACAAACTTTTGAGTTATCTGATCAGACCTGTTTGTACTCTCTCATTCCCAACCATAATTTCCACATCATACAATGCAACCATGATATACTGATAAAAGGAAACTTCAGATAATTAGAAAATTTATGAAACTTAATGTTTAAAAATGTAAAAACAATCTTCTTGTTGATTACACTGCAAACAAAAAAAATCTTAAACATACAATCTCATATTTTTGAAAACACATTAGCAAACTAGAACAAGGAACTATTCAGGAAAAGAAGAAAAATTTTATTGTTAATTGAAAAGTCATGCTCATCCTCAAACTCCTACTCAATGAATGCATGAAAAACTTTAAAGTACAGTGATACCTCATACTTCAAACACTAAATTTGACTAAAGTTTCCTTCAAAGTTTGAACTGCACTCACAGTAAAAAAATGTGTTTGAAGTGTAAATACAATCTGGTGTGCACCCAACTCATCTCTCACTCTTGCATTACACTTAAATGTTTTCAGTGTTTTTTTCCACTTTATTATTTGGTGTGTTTGGTTATATATATATGTGGTGCCCGCCTGCCACGTTGACATGATTCAGTTGAGTCTGATTTCATGTGCAGGCTAGAAAAAAGAAACCATTAGAGTTACGACATAGCGCAAACGACATGTCAGCTTCAAGACAATTAATATCCATTTAATAATTAGATTCAAGATGATTTGTTTAGTGTTCACTGTTTTGTAATGTTTTGTTTTGTATCATATTAAAATATACGTTATTATATGTCATAGAAGTTCTTCATATTCTTTCTTAAACTGTGTTCTGCATAAGCTTCTTAACGCCCAGCCCAGCCATCTTTAGACACCACATTTCTCAGGAGTGGGATAAGAGTGATTTAAATAGCTGTGGATTATTGAAATCATAGTATTTACTGATTATACTGAAACGTTTAATGGCAAATGAAGAGATTCTCGAACTGACTGTGATTTGCCAAAACAAAAACTTGTTGATTTTGAATTAAAACGAAAACTTTTGGATACTATCAACACTCATCTCGGAAACAGCATAAGGAGTATGCAGATTTTTATTCCTTAAAATGATTCTAAATAATATAAAAGAAATAAGCATGGCATTGAAGAATTGCAAGTTCAATAAAATCAAAATCATTCATAAATTTATTTTTGATACCGACAGCAATCAGTCAAGCCAAAAGAGAATAAGAAATTTCAGTGGATTTACATTTGCTTTAAACAGTGATGATTTTAATAAGAAATTGAAAAGTATAAAAAGTAACTTTTCCTTGAATAAGCTAATTATGATTTCTAACATTTTAAACATATCTTTCGAAGGCAATAAATTGGAAGTAGCAAAAAGAATTCTAGCTGATTTGTGTGTTTTGGAATCCTTAGCTCAGCATGTCCGACTCGACATTTCGTCTGGCTCCGAGTCGGAAGCAGACGAACCAAATAAAAAAATTGAAGGTGAAGGCAAATTTTCAATGCAGTGCAATATGAATAAAAATAAAAGCAGTCTCGATTCCTCTATCCAATCTGAACAAAGTAATGCTGTAGCTAGTTCTGTTTTCCATAGTGTTACTATTAATTATTCCGATATCGAAAGTACCATTTCTAAATTTAATGCAGAACCGCACAAGAATGTTATTTATTGGATCGAACGTTTTGAAAATACCTCTAAATTATTTAGTTTGTCTGAATTGCAAAAATTCATTTTTGCTAAAAGATCCCTTGGTGGTAATGCCTCCTTATATGTAAGAACCTGGGATTAATTCGTGGCAAAAACTAAAACAAGCTCTGATCGAATTCTCTTTTGAAATTAATTCAGCTAGGTTGCATGAGCTTTTGAGTAAGCACAAAATGCAGGACTCTGAATCCGGTCAGGAATATTATTTAAAGATGAAAGAGTTATGTAATTTCAAAAAAATAGATGACGGTGCTTTAATGCATTATGTGATTAAAGGGATTAATGATAAACATGAAAGCAAATCTATTTTATATGGATGTAAAGACTTGTCGGAATTTAAAGAAAAACTTAAAGTTTATGAATTAATAAAAAGTGATTCTGTTAAGAGTATAGGCTTCACTCTATCGAAAATACCTTAACATGATTCTTACAATAGAAATAATAATACTTTTGATAGAAATAAAGCAAATTATGAAAATTACAGATCTAACACAAAATGCGACTAAAAATAAAGCAGGATGGTTATGTTGATAATCGTAGCAATAGAATTTATTATAATTGTGGTTCGAGAAATCATATTTCTAAGTATTGTATTCATAAGGATAAAGGTTTAAAGTATTTCCAGTGCAAAGCATTTGGCCATAAGGCTTCTGAATGCCCAAGGTCAAATTCAAAACCAGAAGTTGCCAATTTAGATGTTA